CCCCAATAATCCAGGGTAATCTCATCTCAAAATCCTTAATTACACCTACAAAGACTTTCTCCGTAGAAGATGCATTTACAGGTTCCGGGGATTAGGACCTGATTTCTTTTGGAGCCATTTTTCAGCCGACTACAGATGGGGTTCAGGAGTCTCTGCTCCCCCGAGTGGCCTCTGGAGCTTGAAATGTGCCACGTGCCACAGAGGTTGTCCTCATATGTGCCTATATTTGGTGCTGGTTGCCCCAGGGGGAGCAGGGATGGGAAGACCTCCCAGCATCTCCAGGTGAGGCAGCTCCATCTGCCGAGGGAGTCCTCCAAAGTTCTCCCTCTCTCTCTCTCTCTTTCTCTCCCCCTCAGTCCCTCCCTCCCTTCCCTCCTCCTTTTCCACTTCCTCTGAATAGGCTTGAATGTATTTGGAAGCTACAAGGGACAGGCAGAGCTAGCCACGCCACAGCAACCATATTTTGCAGCCTCTGAACTGAGTCCCAAGTGCCACCAAAAAGAAAGATCTCTGCCACCTCCCTGCCAGGTCCCCTCCATGCAAGAATGACCTCAAGCAGAGCCCAGTGGTACCACAGACATAAAACCATGTGATTTATGAGCATCGGCACCCTAGGCAGGCCTCATTCCCCAAAACTCCCAAGACGCAGGCTCAGGAAGACCCTATTTACTTACCACCGGAGCCTCTTCCCCGCGAGACCTCAGTCTTCATGTTCTGCTCAAATCCTTCTCCAGCATCCCCACACCCTCCTCCCAGGTGAAGCCTGCAAGGCTCCGTGTCCCTCCTCCTTGGTTTTCGTTTACTCGGTTTGTGTGCCGCGTCAATCACGACAATGTCGTTAGCATTAGGAGGGGCCCCTTATGTGGGCACTCTGGAGTGACGCGTATGCAGAGCCCTCTGCCCCCGGAGTGGACCCCAGTTACATTCTTGGCTCGTTTTGTGTTTGCAAGAATCGGGATCCTCCTAGCCCCTCGTCATTATCTTTTGTGTCTTCCTGTCTCATTCCCCCAGCCCAGCCTGCCGAATCCCCTATTTTGGTGCATTCTGTCTTTATTAGTACAGTAATCAGAACATGTCCGTGCACGTCGCAGCAGTGAGAATAAGCTTGGTTACAGTGAAAAAACAAATAACCTGAAATATCAGTGACTTAACAAAGGTTTCCTTGTCACCCGTGCCACCTGTCCCTTGCAGCTTTGTGGGGGGCGCTGCTTGCCACAGGCACCCAGGAGCAGGCTGATGGGGCAGCACCCTCACCAGCACTGCCGGGCACCATGCGAGAGGGTCAGGCAGCTCTGGAAGGCCCCTTATCAGGAATTAGGTGTTCTCTCGAGGAGGTGACACGTGTCCCTCCTGCTCACAACTCATTGTCAAGATGGTCACATCCAGCAACAAGTGAGCTGGAAGGACAGTCCTGCCACGCTCCTGGAGAAGAGCCAGCGACTGTCGGCAGACATTCCTACCGACGGGCTCCACATACAGCGCGCGCACTGTGGCCGCGCACGGAAAACCAGAGCGTTGTAGGGGCTGAGACTGACAAGCCCTCCAACCAAGTGTATTTGTTGTTTTTATTGCTGGACACACACACTTCACACACACACACACACACACACACGCGCGCGCACACTTGTCCGTCCTCCCGCCCGGCCCCCGTACCCTGGGGCTGCAGTTCCCATCCTGGGCATACGGTGCCCCCACCCACCTCCCCGGGGAGGGCCTGCTCTCCCTCCACCAACCTCCTCGTCCTTCCACCCACGTCAGCTCCCCCTTTTCCTCGTTACCTTGGGGAGTAAACACTTAGTTTTACGTCCACAACTACACCTGGCACACCGGGGCATCGCGCTTCTCATCCACAGGAGGACTTTGGGGGCGTGCCTGATACCAAGAAAGGAGCCAAGATGGCCCCAAGCTCCTTTTCTTAGAACACCTGGTTCAGCAAGAGGGCCCAGGAAGCTGGACTCGTGAGACAGCCTTTTCCCTGAAAACGTCTCAGTAATCCTTCCCTCCCTCCTTCCCTCCCTCCCTCCTTCCTTCGCTCCCTCCTTCCCTCCCTCCCTCCCCTCCTTCCTTCCTTCCCTCCTTCCTTCCTTCCTTCCCTCCTTCCCTCCTTCCTTCCTTCCCTCCTTCCTT